ATAAATTAAAAAGTGGATTTGACTCTCCACATTTAGAGAATCAAATTTTACTAACTTAATTTTAAATAGAAAAATAATAAAGTTACCGAAGAATACGTACCGCCTGATCGTCAATTAATTATGATTTTTTTTTTAAGAAAACAAGATGGCGTCATGACATTCGGTACATGAATTCGGTGTACATTCTTCAGTAATCGTAGCATTGCTCTTTTAAATAATAAATTGCAAGTTTCTATGCATTTTATTTACTTACTTCTTCTGTTTTTTTTTAAAAGTCGTTTGAAGGGTATACACGACTTTTAATAAAAAAAAATATTCTCTCTCCCACCCAACTTTTTCCTCTGATTTTACAGGTGGGAAAAACTTTCCCGTTGCACACATTAATTATTTAAATAATTTACATTTGTTTTATTTCATTTTATTCTGCTCGTCTTCGTCTCTTTTCTTTTACTTTGATCCATTTATTTTATTCTGTCGTCCCTCACTCATTTTCATTTCTGTTCCATTTCCATCTCTTTGATTCTGTTCGGTCAATCACCATGGCCGAACAATGTAATAGTAGAGGTGTGCTTGGGGAAATTGATTTAAATGTTCTTTCAACATTAGAAGTTACGAATGAAGTTGATGACATAACCGAGAAAGTTAATATACATATGAGTCGAAAAAATCTTACAAATGAACAAAGGTAAGCAATTTTTGAATCTCTATTGAAGCGAAGTGTTAATAGACAATTGAAGAAAAACACTACAACCTTAGTAGATAAAGAGAGAAAGGAGATGAGGGGCAGAATAGAGAAAAAGAGAAAGGGGACGTCGGTGATAGAAAATGTGGAAGAGAGGAGATAAGGAAGAGATAGCGAAAAAGAGAGAAGATGGAAGCAGAGACGCAGAGACGAGAAAGAAGAAATGGGCGATAGAAAATATGGAAGAGAGGGGAAAAGATAAGATAAAGAGAGAGAGAGAGAGAGGAGATGTGGGCCATGACGAAAAGTGGAGAAGGGAGACAGACAAGACAAGCAACGACATTTAATTTTAAAAAAAACTACACCCTTAAAACAACTTAAAAAAAAAAATAGAGAGAGTATAATTTATCTCTCCTATTAAGTTTATTTCTTGAAAAAACATATTCTCTCTACTAAAATTTAAAGAGTCAAATCAATAAAGATGCTCTTTAAAATAAAGAGTACTTTTAGAGATGCTCTAAACTGGTTAAAGTGAAACTAACTTATAAACTTTAAAATAAAGCTTTAAAAATAAGTTGGGAGAATATACTCTTTTTTTTTTTTTTTTGCTTATAAGTCAGTTTGACCAAGTATATTACCATATTATTCCTATTTAATTTTAAATTTTCATTATATACCCTTATTTTTATATTTCAAATAGATCATGTTATTATAGTATCTTTTTTAGTCATTTTAAAAATAAGCTCAAATTAGCTTAGCACTAACTATTTATAAGCTAATTTTCACAAGCTCAGACAAACACTCCCTTAATCAGAGTAGAAATATAGATTACTTCAATGTTTTGAAAACCAATCGAGGCTAAACCCGACAAATTGGCTGGGTCTCCCCTGATTTTGATTCACCCGATTTTTTCTCAAAACCAATTGGATCGGTTGTTTGCTACAATGACCCCGATCCAACTGCAGGTCATATTGGGTAGACCTAGCAATCCATGACCCGTACCCGCGGGTAAACGGGTACCTGTATCCAACGGGCAGGTACAAGTATCTCATATAACGACCCGTGTAAAATTGACCCACACCCAACCCGCCCTTGACATTTGCGGGTAGACCGGGTAATGCCCACGGGTACCCGTGTACCCGCAATTGAATTTAAAAAAATAAAAGAATAAAGAAAACAAACCCAAGTTATCACTAAAAAAAGTCAAAAAAAGTCAAAAAAAAAAAAAAAAGCAACTCTCACTCTCTCATACTCAGACTCACAGACACAGTACTCATCACTCAACAACTCTCTTCTTCTCTCACACAGCAGCGGCAGCACACGCCGGCAACTGAACTCTCCTCTCTCAGACTCACAAAGCAGTAGAGCACACTCATCAGTCAACTATCTTCTCTCACGCAGGCGACGCAGCACAACAGCAGCACGGCAATAGCACTCTCTCTACTAAACAAACAAACAAACAAGTATTTTTATTCTCTTTTATCGAGATTCAATTCAAAGTTTGGAATGACGATTTCAGTTTCAGCTTCAACAATTCCTTCCTTGAGCACTAAAGCTTCTTCTAGAAACCTCTCCAAACTCTCATCACTATCTTCTCTACAATTCCCTGTACACTTCCGTCAGATTCAAATTTTTAACAACAGTCAGATTTGTACTGATTTGATTTGTGTTTTGTTCAGCTAAAGAACAAGGGGTTTGTCTAAAGAAGAAAGAAGAGAAATTGGGTTTGTATGAAAAAGAAGGAAGAGAAGCGTTGTTGGGATTCTAAATAAACAAAATCTGCTAGCGATAGAAGAGAAAGAGAAGGTGGATTTGTATGAAGAAGAAGGAAGAGAAAGGTTGTTGGGATTCTGAATAAAGAAGATTTGTGACTGTGAGCTAAGGAAGAGAAAGGTTGGTGGGATTGTTGAACTTTCTCTCTCTTTTTACTAGTTTTTGCAGGCTACAGAATTCAGGCTTTAACAAAGAGAGGCGGTGGGCTGAGCTTAGTCTACAATGGGAAATAACAAAAAATTCATAAAAGTCCATTTATGCGGGTGACTCGTACCCGTGCGGGCGGGTACAGGTTATGTATTTTTTATCCCGTGAGAATTTTTTACCCGTGAACCCGTATCCGTTTCATCCGTGATCCGTGATTATCTGATCCATACCCGTCTGACCCGTCCGTTTGTCAGGTCTAATATTGGGTGAACTCAGACCCCCCAGTTTTAATGCTGGCCTGGCCTAGTTGAGTTGCTAGTTCCCAGTCCAATCGGTTAAATCGGGTTTTAAAAGATTGGACATATATATATATATTGAATTCCTTTAAAAAATTCTCCAAATTTTGTCCAATGATATAGTTGTTCAACAGAATCATTGCTAGAATCGTTTGGACAAAAGCAGGGTGTATCATATAAATCAAGAATTGCAACCTGGCGGATGAAAATAAAAAATAATAGTTTTTTTTTTTTTTTTCCTTGTGTTTATTGGTTTTCTGCATTGTCGTTATTGATTGGGAACAATAGAAGAAAAGGGGGTTGAGCTTGGTACAGAATGACTCATGGTGATCATTTTCAAACGTATCTTCATTACACGGATATGGATGATTTCTTAATAAATCCAACAAGTGCATTTGCTTGTCGTTATACAACAATCCACATGGCTTCATCAGTCCTTGTGATAAATTTGTCCATTTCTCCTCAACTCTACACATGGTGGTCAAGGTGAACCAGAACCACACCCTGCTTACCCATATTTGTTCATTCGCTCGCCATTCAACAAAGGACTAACCCAAAACTATGATACTATTTTTAAGTGACACTAACATGAAATTAACGTAGGGATAAATTTTTTTTTTTTTTTTTTTTTGGTAACTGATGTGTTTGAACTAATTTGTGCGTACATCAACTAATTATCGGGGATCGATTAAACACCCTCCAAGCCTAATAGACTAGTTAAACCACAATATTATTGTGATAGGTGACTCTAAGGTTTTGGCCTCAAAGTTTGAATCCAAAAACTCAAAAAATTGAGCAAATCTTCTTAACCGTCAGGTCAATCTCTTGGATAGCCCAACGGATAAAGAATTTGGGCATCCATTTTGTTTCATTTATAAAATTTTAATCTCAAAGCTGGAATATTTCATCTTCAAAACCTAAGGTTGCATATAGTAGTAGTTTTGATTAGTGACATAAATATGAAATTAATATTCATTCGAAGAAGTTATGTTTTTCTGACCATATAAATAGACAAAATTGTTGTTTTTTTGTGTGTTTTTGGATTTTTACAGCAGCAACAGTACTTCGCTTAAACCATGAAGGCCTGGAAAACCTCTATACTAAGATGTAAGGCTTCACTAGTAAAATGGTAAGGCTAAATTTTTCTGATGACTATCAAATTAATTCAACCAAACAGTCTCTGTTTAGACCACATTGATCATGTATCAATCAGATGACACAATCTAAGTCCTCTTCCACAACTGAACCAAGTAATAATTCCACAAAAAACCAATAGAAGGCATGGCCAAAACCCAAAAAGATGATAAGTATCTTAATAATATACACGAAAACTGTATCAGACAAGAACAACCAAAAAGGAAAATCAACACAACCAAAAGAACAGTAAAAGGATAACAAAAATGGACATAGACATGCTAGACTTCGAGGGCCAGCTCCTCCCTCATTGCTAACTTCAAGGGTTAACTCTTCCCAAATTTTTCTATATTTTTCTCCACCCTAATCTGCTTTCTCCCGCTCTTTTTATCCTCCAGCTCTCTCTCTCTCTCTCTCTCCCTAACTGAATTCTTTTGCTGTCCCAACCCCCAATCACCACCTATCCTAGCCTAAACCCATGAAAGTTTCCTGCCAACATCCCCTCAATCCACTACTTGCTATCTTATTTCACTTTTCCTACACTCTCCTTATCCAGGTCCTATCACTAAGACAATGAATTAATGAAGTCAAAATTAGTAGGACCAGAAGTACCAGCTAAGAGTTAAGGACAAAATATATGGACGGTGTCCGATTATAAGTCCGTAAAGCCATGTAAATTTAAGTTGAGCTTATTTGTTAATCCTTCAAATCAAACTTTTTGACACGGCTTTGCAAGTAGAGTACTCTATTTTAAAAACCGGACCAAACTGACCGGTTGGATCAAGACCCAACAGCTTCTCTGATTTGGTTCAGGCCTTAGAGGGTTTTTGTAATATTTCAAAATGGATTAATAATAATTTTTTAAAAATAAAACTGTTGACATCATCCGTCCAACCGATTGGACCGATTGACCAGTGACTAGGCAACAAAACGGGTTGCCCTCCGGGTTTTAAAACAATAGTAGAGTATCAAGCAAATGAACTGGCTATTCTCAATTGAAAGTTAAAACTCCATTAGTTCTTCCATCATCAGACAATATGTAACACAAAACTACATTTTTCACAATTGACCATCAGTTACAACCACACAACAAAACCTGCAACTACAAATACAAAAAAGAAGATGAATTTACATCACATAACTTGCAACAGGATCCATCTAAGAGTCTACTTTTTTGCCATCTTCGATAGCTTTATCTACCGTCGCTTTGACCTTCTTGTACTCGAAATCCACATTGTGCATGGCGCACTCCTCAGGAGTCACAGGCACAACTGGACGCCTATTTGCGAAGATGGTCCACAAATACAACACAATAGATGCTCCCAGAGCTCCACAAGCAGCACCAAGAATCAGAGCAGCAAGTACTCTTAGTAAGCAATCACTCCGCTTGGGGGCAGGCAGGGGTGTTTTCGTATTCTTAACAACAGTTTCAGGATCTAATGGCTGTGAATGCATCCAATGTGGAACTCGCCTTAGATTAAAGCTCCATGAGTATACAGAACATATCTGTGTAGAATTCCCATTTGAAGAACTTAAGCCCACGAAAACTTCCTCATTATTCCACACTTTTGATAAGTCGATTGGGTATGAGAGCAGTGGATCAACCGGCTTGCTATCACCAAAATGACTCAACCTAACCTCTAATCTCTTCGAACTGGCTTCATAATCTATCCAAGAAGTAAATTTCTTACCACTATTCAACCACATATTGTGAGATGAGACATTGCTAACTTTAACTGATGAAAGACTACCCACATCAATCCCCACATGATTGTCATTCAAATCGCCATACTTAGCATCTCTTAAAGTATCAAATTCAACGGCAACAACTCTAAATATATCTTTCTCCAATACTTGAGAGAGCCCAAATGAACTATTACCAAACCCATTAAAATTTAAAACGCTTGGAGCCATAACAAAAGCCAAACCATCACCACTTTCCTTTAACATTGAAAAGGAGAAATTTGTTGAAAAGGAAGCTAAATTCCTAGGCTTACCTTCAACAACAAGCTTGATGGGCTTCTTATACATGACGCGCCCAGCACTTGAACTAACAGAGTTAGTAAGTTGAACTGAAAACTCATCATTAACAACCTTGGCATCCCCATATAAAGCAATGTTGGAATCAAGGTTCGGATCTTTAACAAAAGTTTTGAAGGAAAAAGAGGAACTTTGGTCTGCATATAAGATTTTGAAGTGGTAAATGAATAAAGCTAGAGTTATGAAGTACCTGAGCAAGAAATTCGTGGCCATTGCTGAAGTGGGTCGGAGCTGAATCTGGGGTTTGTTAGGTCTTGTGAATGTGAGTCTAGGGTTTGTGAAGTGATCCCATTTACAAAATAGGTCAATGTTTTTCTAGGGTTTGGAGTGAATGTAGATGGCAGAGGAAGAAAGTAAAGAATGGGAGGTTGGGTTTGGCTTGGAGGTTGTGAAAATTAAATACGTTTACTCGTTTTTGCAAACTCTCTGATTCACTTTCTCTGAGTGGTTGCTGACTGAGGGAATATTTTAAAGGACCCTGCTACACTTACTGATTAAATTACCGATTTGATATACCGATCCACTGCCCAATTTATCCAAATCTCAAAATTTAACTCAATTCACCAAAAATCAGTATATCAAATCGGTTGTTCAATCGGTAACTTTAGCATTATTGTATTTTAAAGCACATTTTGCAGTTGGGCACTTGTGTTTTAGTTTAATTTTCATGTGAACTATGTGGTCTGTGAATTCATGCTTCTGTCCATGGATTCTTGTAAAAAATTTTATCATAATGGAGTAAGATTCGGTTGAATATTTTAACACACAAAACAATCTTGGTTTTGAAAAAATAATGATACATACAAATGACTTTGGTATAAAGAAAAATTAATGATACTCCCAATTGACTTTGGCATAAAAATCAATGAAAAAGATTAAAGCAATATTCATTGGTGCATGATGCGTCTTAGTGCAATTAGCATGATCTAAAATGTTGAGCAAAACATTTCCCATACCCACATCATTGCATTTAAATTCAAGTCATATCATGTAGACTCTAGATGATAAGAGATGAGGTAGACATGATTAATGGGATGAGATTTAAAATCTCCTAAAATGATTAACTCTCCAAAAAAAAAAAAAAAAAATAGTTACTAATATCCTAAAACTTTTAATGTATATAGATTTACAGGGTAACTCTACTTGTTTGAGGATTGTCGTTGAGTTTCTTGTAGGTAAACCAAAAGTTGGTTGAGGTTCGATTGGAGTCTTAATTAGTCACTCGCTCGGTTGGATAAAAGTATATAGTTGATGAATCCATTTAAAGGCATTAGACTCGACTTGTAGCAAACCGGTAGGGATGGCAAAATGCCCCATGTGTTTATGTATCTGTGGGGAATTGCCTCTATTGGAGCGGAGATGGGAGAGTTAATTTCGGAAATGAGGAGCGAAGTAATTCTGCATGTTTAAATGGATAAGGGATGGATTTAGTACTTCTTAGTCCTTACCCCTAACCCGCTCCATTCCCCATTATTTTATTAAATATATAATATTTTGTAGTATAGAAATATTATTATTATTATTAATATAATTTAAAATTATTGTAAGTATTTTTATTTCACATTTTATAGGAATGAAGTCGTAATTAACAAGAGAAATCAAGAAGACGTCGGGAAATAAACGATGCTATGACAAATTAGAAACTATTTTCCAATTTAGTTTTGTTATTTTTTTAATTGTTTTGGTTATAACTTGTTTAAACTTTTGACTATTTAATATTGCTTCATTATGTTATAGTTATTTTTATTTAAAACATTAATACTATACAATAATAGTTTATTTAATTATAATGTTATTTATTCATAATGTGATTATTTATATAGTTTATATATAAATAATCTGGGGAATGGAGTAGGTTTAGGGAATGCACTCCCCATGTGGCGATTACGCATCACCGCCTGCTTAAATAATTTGGGGAATGAATCAAAATCCTAAATCAGAATAATTTGGAGGGTTAATTAGGACTTTTGAATATATTATTCAAGAGATCTTGAGTTCAATTTCTCTTGGTTGCTAATAGGGGTGACTACTGGAAGATTATCCAATCATTAACTTTGGGATCCAAAAGATTAGTTAAGATACACACAAGCTGACTCAGACACCTCCGATTATTAAAAAAAAAAAACATTTCAAGTGACCATAAAGGAGGACTTAAAAGAAGAAATCAACCACGTTTAAAGAAGTGTGGGATAAATTGTTATGTGGGCATTTATGAAAATATGGAAACAAAAAGTACCAAACTGCAAATAGTTTGAACTTAGTTTAAACTTTAGAGTCTAGAGTTAAGAGTTGTCAAAAGTTCCCCCGCATCAAAGTACTGTAGAGTTGCCTCCAAAAAGAGAACTAAAAAAAGAAATTTACAACTGTACGCTCGAGTGTCCACACGCTCTTAACCTTTTGCTGTTTTGCATGAAAACATTTCCAAAACTACAGCTGTACAGTACAGTTCCGCGAGTCCACGATTTGTCTCACTCAAAGCGACTCAAAATTGACTTATCACTTTTTCCTTCTTAAATTTTAATTTTATTTTTGGCGAGATATAAAAAGGCAGATTCTTCAGGGACCAATATCTAACATGCGCCGTGTGTGTGGATAAACGCCACCTCGGTGGCTCAAAACCGACAAAAAAAAATAAGAAAAGAAGGTGCTGCGTTGTGTTATGTTTAGTTTAGTAATATATTGTCAGAAAAAACTAATGTGCGCGTGCTTTTGTCTTCTGGGTAACGTAACGGATAGGTTTCATTTAGTAAAACACAGTCCAAACAAGTGGTCCGTTTAACGAACCTTCGATGAGTCGTTTTCTTACCAGAGCTATGTTTGAGTCCAACTCATGTGTACATCATCTTCACTAGCAAAAGTATTCAATATTTTTATGATGAATTTTGAGGATAATAAATTGAAACCAGATTGTTTGGTGAAATTAAATGCAACCAGCTTTTGTGGTGGGTTCATAAAGACCTACCCTCTGTGGTTGCATTGAAGAATGATTTATCCATTGCCACAATCAATTTCAATTTTTCTATCCTCCATATTAAATTCGAATTTAATTAACCTCGTTAGTCGTTACTTATGTATTTACAACACATGAAAAATAAAGATAGTAATATAGAAGGTATAGCAAAAATACCACTCTAGGGTAATTAAAGTGGGAACACATGCGTACAGTTTCACATTCGAACCCTTCCGACTCCCAAGATTTAAATAAGTGACAATCGTAGTGAAAAATTATTCATTGAATGTTATAAATTAGTTATTGAGGAAGTTTTGGCTCAATAAGTTAGAGATTTTTATTCTATTCATGTTTCTTCCAAGTAAGGTTTTCTAATGTTATAATCATACTTTTAGTTTAGTACTAATTGAAGAATTTGGATTTGATTAGTAAGTTTCAAGAGAAGAATTATAACTCCATTATCGAAGATGCAATAAACACCTTTGGGTGGCCGACTGATGGTAAAATGGTAAAAAGAGATTTCATGAGCTTTTGAGTTTGAGTCTATACAAACCCTAATAGAAGTAGCCACTAAGAGGCTTACTTGGTCGTCAACTTTAAAGGCTCGAAGGATTAATTGAGATTTGTATAAGCTAATCCAGACATCATCAATCACCAAAAAAAAAAAAAAATAATAATAATATACAAGAACTAGCAAGGGTTACGTGAGACGAGGCAAAAGGAAGAAACAGGATATTATTGGGACAGTGCGGCAGTGTGTGCAGTTATTTTGATGGAAAGAAGGTTGCTGTCGTTCAATTCAAAGCGTAGTGCCTCCATCAATGGCAAAAAGGAGAAGGTCTAGGAAGCAAAAGGGATGGGCACTTGTGTATTTATGAGCATTAAAATTGAAACATTGGACCACTTCACCTTGTGATTTGTGTGAGTCTTGTGACATTAAGTTGAGTGGGTTACCTGCTTTTTATGGTCGCTATGAATGAGCCATTTGGCCCATTTCAGCTTTGGTTGGTGCACATGGGTCCTTCAGCAATTCAACCTTGTTTATGATCTCCAACACAGATTAATTATTAATCAAATGGGTTTGTTTCATTCCCCCAAGTGATATCAAAGTTAAAATATCAAAACCCCCCAAAGCATGAAGGTATTTGATAATTTATAATAATCGCTAAAGCGCTTTTGGCTTTAGTATCTATGAGAAGAGTATAAAATTAACCCTTAATACAGTTTTTTTTTTTTTTTTTTTTTTTTTTTTTTTTGTTTGGGTAACTTGGGGGAGTTCGTTTTGGTGCCCGAGGTGTCCCGCTAACTTACCCGCACTTTATTAATCTTCTGAGACCCTAAAGTTGAGACCAATAAATCTTCTCAGTGATCACCCTTATTAGCAATCTAAGTAGGTCGAACTCAAGATTTCTTGAGTAATATGTCCAAGAGTCCTAGTTGACCGCTAAACCACCCAGTGGTGGTTACCCTTAATACGGTAGCTTACTGTTATAAGAAAGTAAATTGATAATAAACTGAAACTTACAAAGAATAAAGTCTGAGTTACGCGAGAGATCTAGGTTTAATATCTGACCAGAATTTGGTTCAAATGGGTCCGGATTATTTATCTCCAAAAAGCATTGCGGAAAAGAATTAAGAAGAGAGATAGCAACTCATCAGAAAAGGGGAAATGAAAAGTAGCCATCACTCTTTCGCAGCTATAGTGCAAAAGGTGATATAACTTTTCTGTACAGTGAGCTGGCACTTTGAATTTGCTTTGAGCTTATAAAATCTTCACTTAAAGCATTTGTAAGGACCACCATTAGACTGGGAAAGGCAATTTAAACATATAGTATGAAAAAGGAAGTGGAAAGGAATTGAAACCTCTATTATAGAAAAGCAAGCTGATAAAGGTAACTGGATGGTGTGTGGACCATCTCCACTTTGTTGCAAAATTGATAAGCATATCTTAAAATTCTTTACAACATTGGGAGACACTGGAAGAATGATTTCATGGTATCAAAATTCCCAATAACTTCAATGGTTGGTCATTACTACATTCAAATGGAATCTCCCTAGTCTCAAACCCGTTTGATATTTACCAAATAGTCGAACAGCAAGAAACTTGCTAAAATGTTGCTGTAAAAAAAGGAGACAAACAAAATTGCTACAAACAATTCAAATCTATCTTCATCAGTGGTGTTGGCTATCAGTTTCCATTCATAACTGTTCTTTATCTTTCGAGACCATGAGACTTATTATTTGATAAAAAGATGTAAATAAATAACTAAGGATGTTTTCTGATTGCATGAAGAAATATCTGATGTATTCAGAAAAGAAAACAGTATACAAATGAGAAATTTGCTTACAGCTAAATTAGAATGCCAGGCAACCAAATTATAGACACCATCTTGTGTCTTTTTCAGGTTGCTTGAAAGAAATAGATAAGTAATGTGAAATCACTATGCAAACGAAAAATCTTATTAAAACTAAATGAGGCTGTAAATCGATCAAATTATACATAATATGTAGTTAAGAGAGTCAATCTTATGAATTTCTTGCCTTCCAGGTTTCCTAGGCAATAATGGAGAAAAAACTTATTTATAGATGAATAGTAACTTAAGTAAAACAATTACCAAGTAATCTATTTAAACAGGCATTATCTAATCCTACAACATCTGACACAATTTTCTTTTCCTTGTGTTAGTCAGCATGAAATGACTTGCTCTATGTTCTTATAATATATTAGGCATATACAGTCAGGCAAATTAGATCAATAGAGACAGACAACGGTGAAGAGAACTCCAAAACTAGTCAAAAGGGTTCTGAAAAATGAGTTTTTAGATAATTTTAATGTTACTCAAAAGGATACATGACACACATGGGACCAAATTTACTTTCTTTGAGCATCCATGTGGGTAAATTAATTAGCACTCTGTGAAAAGTAATTGAATAGGAACCAACAATGCATATCTTAATATTTTAAGATGGTCATGAAAGTCACACTACAGCTATCAAAATATAATTTAGTTTCATAAGATGGTCACTGGAATCAAAGACTAGTGAAGCAAACAAAACACATGAAGACATAATGTAAATAATCAATTAATCAAAAACTTCTTTTGAGAAGAATAAAATGGAATCCAAGCCTCTCAATATACTTTCGACACTTAAAGAACCCACAAGTGTGCTTCTTATTCTGTACTTTTACTCACCCTCCCTTTACTGTTACAGCCATTTTTTATTATCTTTAGTGCATTTCTCTCTGACTTGGTCACTTTTCTGAACGCAGGGAAGTTCAAAACTGATTGGTAAATTCAAAAATTTAGATCTTGAAAGTCCTTCAAGTTGTTGGAACTTACATATTATTCATAGTGTATACTAACTCAAGCCAGTAAAGTAATATATCTAGGAAGATAATAAATGTTTTCCTTATGCTTGGCAATGTATGTGCATGTGAAACCAACATAACTGATTTGATTTGACGGATAACTGATATTATTTGATTTGTCTTGTAGCTGACCTTCCAAAATGATTTCCCATATTTTGTGCTACTATTCATGCAACTAATGGTGCATGGTGTATTCAGCACACTTAAACCTTAGAAATAAATAAGCAACTTGATAAAATGAAAAAAAATAAAACCTAATCAAGTTCTATGACACTTTATGACGCAAAAGAGGTTTTAGAAAAAGAACAAGAAGAACCAAAAATTAAATAGGGTAAACCTTACAAAATTGATAAATGCAAACCATTTATGACGATGATCAGGAATAACTTATCTACAACATTTTCTCTGCAACAATTTCATTGAGATCTAGGTCTACTAAGGTCTCTTTTCCAAACAATGTAAAGCCAACAGTTGCCTGCCAAAAAAAAAAAAATGTTCTGATGATTAATTTTTACTAATATAAAGAACAAAATTACACCAGTAGGTTCATAAGGACCTTATATATAGTTTGAAGCAATAAATTTGTATTAGAGAGTCCTTTTGAAACAGCAGTTAGTAAAAAATTCTCAAATTATCCTCCATAAAAAATTATTAATATGACACAAACAGCATACCTTTTTAGTTTTGCGATTCAGTTTCTTGAGGCTACCAACAAATTCGGCAAAAGTCCCAGATACAACTCGAACAGTTGAACCTGGGGCAAGGCGCTTATTGCCCTTTACTGAAGATGAACCATTAGCAAGAGGGTCAGAAGCTTTTCTGGATCGCCTTTTAGGCTTGGAATCTGAAATAGATTCTTCAACATCATTGGAAACTAAATTAGATTCTACATTGAGCTTGTCAGATTTGAGGTTTTCTTCTCCTTGCTGCTCTTCCTCGAAAGCTTGATCAGCTTTTTCTTGTGCTTGTTTTGCCTCTGTGAAGATTGCTTCCATATCATCAAGAGATACTGTCCTAGGTTTGTTTATCTGTCTTTTTCTGCCATCATGGACAAAACATTGTTTGTTGGAGTAGTTAAAAAGATAAATAGCAACCACATATGCTATATATTCTATATAAATAAACATGAGTCAGGCTGTTTAGGAAACTGTAATGACAACAAACCAGAACAATGCAACATTTTAACTATCTTCTTTATAAGTTACAGATCATTCAACAACGAGAGTACTCCGGGTTCCATTTAACTCTCTTCTTTTGTATGAATGAAATTGTTATACCATCATGCCACAAACAAAGAGAATTTCAATCAGACCATAAAATGCAGGAAATTGTACGGCCAACATGTGAAATAGAGAAGCTGCTAAAGGTCTTAGAAGGAAAAGGGAAATCACAACAGCTCCATAACTAACTTAAGTATCAGCTGATAAATAGGATGGGAGGGAGACATGGACAAGGAAGGCTGAATAGGGCTTTATAACTCATCAAGGTGACTGAACACAGTAGCTATCATGGTAACAAACAGAATGTATTTCTCCTTCTCTCTCCCAGATCTGTGAATTAAGGAATCAGCTCACTCTCCAACAATTTCAACTCTAGATTTTTCCTTCCTGCTCTACAATATAAGCTTGTATTCACTATTCATTGAAGCTACTGTTTATTCCTTTCGGAGCATTGCTTTCTCCTCAACTGGGCTAAGAGCAAGCAGCCACCAATCACTAGGTCAAATGAGCTATCTATCTACATGCCTTTCTACAAGTTTTTAATATACAATTTATAACATTTCGGCCCACTTTCAAGATATTGTTGAATTTTATCTCTTGTCCAACTCAATTAATGGGGCTCAGAGCATGTTCCTCTTGTTTTGAACCCGGGACTTCATCCTTGGAAACAAATCAAGAGTACCAATATTTGAGGTGGATAAGAGATAAAATTCAACAATATCTTAGGTGGATAAGAGATAAAATTCAAGCCAGGATGTTACACAATTGCATGTAATTTGCTACAAGTGATTCCAGCAAAATTAACAATTAACAAAACGGATTTATGCACTCACGTATTTCCAACCTTGGAACCAACAAAACCGCCAATTCCCTCACAATCCCTGATGAAGTCATGTATCTCTTTGTTCAACACACACCTTAAAAAAACACAACCTGGAAAAATAGCCTTAGGCTTTACCGAGATGGAACCATTTTTTAGTTTCCTCTTCTCTTGAATAGCTGGAGCATACATCTGAAAACAAACAATAAGAAATTTAGAAAACTTATGAATTTTTTTGGATATTACTTCCTTACTAAAACTACATCCATGCTTCCAACTTTCAAATAGAAATATCCACGTTTATGAAAACCGTCGAAAGACATCCCACATGTATTCTAAATAAGTTCTCAATTGGTCTCAATACTACACCTTGGATATAAGTCTTTAAGCCAAGCAGCGTTAAATTTATACTATATTTTGCATGATTTATGATTTATTTCACATATTAATATTAATATGTGAAACATGGTTTCGCCATTTCACAACAAAAACAAAATGCCAAATAGCACGCTACGTCGCTACCTTTATTCGCTTCCATTTTTAAGCAAAATGATTACAATCATTTCATCAATTCATTAGTATTATGTAGCATAACCAATATGAACTCATATACAGGAAGCAAAAATAAAAAGGCGCGACATATCGTCTAAATGTTGAAAGACAGACAGGTGACATGTCGTCTATCCTTGTTAAACTAAAAATTACCTTAAATTCAATATCAGGGAAGTTCCTAGCGAGCGATCGAGCAAGTCGTTCAGCAATCTCCTGATACCTAATCCGAGAAACCCGAACTACCCACCATTGCGGACCCAATGTAGCCAAGTTATCAAGATTGAGCTCTTCGGTCCAAGAAGTATATCGTTTCTTCGGCTTCTTTAAAAGCCTTTCTTCAACTTCTTCTCTCCAGCTGTAACCAGATTTTCTCTCTCTTCTTGCGTTTCTCAGCTGCCTCCTCTCTCTCGCCGATAGCTCTTGTTGTTGTTGTTGGGTGTTTACAGAATCTAAAGTTGTGGAGATTGATCGTAAAGGAGCGCGTTTGGTTGTGCGGATTGGAAAGGAAACTTGTGGAAGGAATAGCCGAGAGAAAGAGTGAGAGTGGGAGCAAGGACTCCATTGGAGAAGCCCCTGCTTCATCTTGTTTGTGAGTGATGGTTAATGAGATGTTTTGAGTTTCGATTTGGTGCCAATGATGAGCAGCGTTAGTCTCTTCCTGGTTTCAGATAATTACGATAATACCATTGGGCCAGTTTAAGAATGGGCCCTTTTGGATTTTATTTTTAAAGAGTAAATAACTTTTCCCACCCAAGGTTTGCCTCAGTTACGCTTTCCACCAAAAAGTTTCAAAATACCAATTTACTACCTAAACCACAATTCCGTTGGTAAATTTCCGTTAAATACAATGATATTCATTGCGAAGACAAAAATACCCTTCTCTCTTTTTCTTCCCTTCTTACCCTCTTCCAATGCTAGCAATTGTCACCAACATTGGAGAGTGTCAATGACCGGAAAATCAACAAACAAACCACAAACACTTTAAAAAAAAACTTCCTCAATTGTCTTTCAACCTAACAAACACAAAAAATCAAACAAATCAAACCTGTTTCATCAATCAGAACTCGAAAAAACCTAGGGTAGGGAAGCTTCAATTGTCAACAATTGGTGAGCAAATAAGATCAGGAATGTTAGGGCTTTTGGAAAGAAAGAGTCGTTGAGTCGATTAGTGGTGATGGGGAAAATTTTCGATGACGAAATCGACCAAGAAAGAAAATGGCATCGGCCACTGTTTCTAGGCCATTTCGACTTGAATATGGCATTGTTGAGCCCTCCCACCGCCACCAAAATACTCCCCACCACCCCCTCACCAAAACCCCTTCTACTTCTTGACTAACCCCTCGATTTGCATGATTCTTGCCCCTTTTCAACCACTTCCAGCATGGAAAATCACTTCTAAGACCACCAATCAACTCACTGTCCTCCCATCTCCAAAACCCCTAACCTTCCTCATGCCAATTGCACGCTGTTCGCAGCTCTCCACAACCTAAAGTTTCACTGCTTTAGGGCCGATTCCACCTTATTTCAACAGCCAAAATCTAATCTTCCACCACCCTTTCAACCTCCAATCTCCTCTCTTCAAAACCCCTCACCATTTGTTGGCCATGAATTGCCACCCTCCTTTCGTCATTCGCTATTTTCTTAGCAAAGTGGAATTTTAAATTGATAATTTTATCCTTACTTATAACAAAGTTTTGACTATCATACCCTTCTTCACAATGAAATTTACTAATAGAATTGTAGTTTGGGTAGTAAAGCGGTATTTTAAAACTTTTTGGGTTGGAAAGTATTATTAAGGCGAATCTTGGGTGGTAAAAAGTCGTTTACTCTTTCTAAGAGTTCATACTTAGAGAGGCAGAGCATTAATTAGAAGTAACATCAATGCATTGATATTTGATTAAGTTAATACACCATAATATCTCTCATAATTGGTCAGATTATTGTAGTTTAAGGGGTGCTTGGTTGGGTGTTACCTTTCTTTATTAAGTAAATGTCATTTTGTATTACTAAATTACCACGTTTAGTTATCAAATAATATAACATTCTTATAATCTTTTAAAATTAATAGTAATTACTATTGGTAATATATGTGGTCGTATTACCTTTATTTTCGTAGATATTTTAAGATTACTTGGTAATGTTAATTTCATCAAAATTTTATCCCTTATTAATTTTGTTTGGACAATAATGATCTTATTTTGAAATTAATTTACATAAACTTATCATAACAATTTTACCCTTAATTAATTAAGTTTATTTTTTATTTTTTTATAGTAATGCCCTTGTATTTAAAACAAATTGTAGGCCACCCCAAGACCATCGTCGTCCACCGACAACCATAGCAGGTTGACATGGCCGGAACGACACACAACTAGTCAGATCTGTCCGGTTGTGTGTCAATCTGGCCATTCCTGGGCAGACCCACCATGGATTTGGCTGGAAACGACCAAATCTACCCATTAACGATGGCCAGAACTAAAGATCAGGCTGTTGCTAGATGTAGATTTGACTGTTTTCGACCAAATCTAATTAGTCGTGCGTCGTTTTGGTGACTGCCGACAGTGGCTTGGGTTGGTGGGGGTTATTTTGTTAGAAATTAAACCTTTATGTGGCTGGGAGTTTTAGCAAAATCTTAAATGTAGGGGGTTAAAAGATATGATTCAAAAAATAATAATAAAAATAGTATTATATTAATATTTAAAAATGAGGACAATTTAGTAATCTATATAATATACATAACAATTTATTCCTCTTAACATAACATACTCATCAATTTATTCCAACTTAACCAAACATATTATTTTAAACATTCCCGGTAATTTTCAGGGTAATGTATCTTTCTATTAATATAACATTCTATGAACCAAACGCACCCTAAATATTTAATTGAAAGCTTTGACATAATTTTTTTCAATGATTATCAACAATTATTGTTAATATAAAATATGTTTTATAAAAAAGACAAAAACAAAAAACACTTAAAAAAAAAACACTTATATGTGTGTCCTTAATTAAGACAACCCTAACTAATAATTATAAATTTTAGAACATAAAATTTGCATGCTTAATCATAATTAACAAATAATTGTTACTCCAACAGTATCATAGTTCACAAAAAGATATCTGATTTTAGAATTTTTTCTTTAATCTCTAAATNCCAACCTAACCAAATATATTTTTTTAAACATTATCGGTAATTTTCAAGGTAATGTATCTTTCTATTAATATAACATTCTATGAACCAAACGCACCCTAAATATTTAATTGAAAGCTTTGACATAATTTTTTTCAATGATTATCAACAATTATTGTTAATATAAAATATGTTTTATAAAAAAGACAAAAACAAAAAACACTTAAAAAAAAAACACTTATATGTGTGTCCTTAATTAAGACAACCCTAACTAATAATTATAAATTTTAGAACATAAAATTTGCATGCTTAATCATAATTAACAAATAATTGTTACTCCAACAGTATCATAGTTCACAAAAAGATATCTGATTTTAGAATTTTTTCTTTAATCTCTAAATTAAAATTTGTAAATAATGTACTGCCTTGAGTTCCCGCACAAATTTGCGAGCTTCACCGCTTTAAACAGCCATTATAGCTTTCCCGCGCAGTTAAAACCCCAAATACCGGTTAACCGCTAAAACGCCCAAACACGCCTCACACTAATTGGCATTTTTCCTCCCAAAATTTCAAATACTCCCGCGCTTTCACTCTTTTTCCTTCTTTCTTTGCTCAGAATGTCTCCCTCTAAATCTAAAGCTCAATCTTCCTCTCTCACCCTGTCACTCTTGAATTTTCCATTTTTCCTTTCTCTTCCGTTCTTCCAATGGGGAAGCAAAACAGATCCAAAAGATCAGATAACAATTATGCCAAGGGGAAGGTCACTCCAATTCAAGTCGCTTTCATCGTTGACCGCTATCTCTCCGATAACAACTTCTCCGAAACTCGCTCCATCTTCCGAAATGAAGCCTCGGCTCTCATCTCTAAATCCCCACTCCGAGAGGTTTTTATATATGTTTTTTCTTTCATCTTTTAATTTTAGTTTTTTGCATTTTATTTTCTACGGTAGTTCAAGAATCTAAGTGGTTTACTTGTTATTTTGTTTTTGCAGGCTCCGAAGAGTTTGTTGAGTTTAATGGCGATGTTAAACGAGTATATAAGTTTAAAGGAGGAGAAGGTGATGTTGGATCAAGAGAGGACTCGTTTGGACCAAGAAAAACTGAGGGTACAGACCTTGCTACATGGTATGCAAGATGTCATGAACACTTACAATGCCGGTTCGATTACGTCAACGAATCAGCCAACAAAATCGACGGTTGTGGTTCATCAATCTGTTCCATCTGGTGCATCCCCTTCAGGTAAGCCCCCTCAATTGTACTTTTAATGTTAGTAGATCTAGTACATTTTGCTTGTTTCTAGAATAGAAATTGAAAATTTCAGGGTTTTGTTTAAAACTAGAGTCCTATTAGAAATTTCTGAGAGATTTCTCGTCTGACTAAGGAGAAGAGTTCATGGTGTAGTAGAATTTGGATGAATTTTGAGTAATTATCTTTCTAGTTTTTAAATTCTTTTGATTATAGAATTTTGATTAGCATCAGTTCAGGAATGAAGCCATACACATGGTTGTATTAATTTTGACTAGCTTTTGAAGTTGGATCCTTAATCTTTTTCTTAAAGAAATTTTTTATTCTTAAATTTCCAGTTAGACTTATTACAATGATAAAAAAGTACTTGGTTAATTAACAGTGTTAATCATCTACGTCTATCTTAAGTTTCTGTTGATCATTGAGAGTATGCATGAATTTTTTGACGTCCTAAATTATTTTCTCCACAACTGAAACACAATTCTTGAAAGCGATCAGTCTCATGTGGTTTTTGCTCTCTGTCTCAGGTTGTCTTGTGCAAAATACACCGATTGTTGTGCCAGCGTCCATCCCTCCCAACACTAGTATTTCACCAGCAGTTACAAATTTCCCTATAACAAGAAAGAGAGCAGGCTCAAAAGTTGTACAAGAACCCCCTCAGCTTGCAAAGAAATCTCGCAATAAGTTGCCAACTAAGAAATTGCCAGACAAAGGTGAAGTTTCTTCAAAGATATGCATTTTATATATTGCTATTTGTCTTGTGTTTCTTACTCGAATATTTTAGGTGTTATTAACCATTTTTTTATCTCTGCAGTTGTAGACACAGCTACACAATCACAGAATGAAGTCACTAGTCAAGATTATGCTCAGCATTCTGCGGTTGAGTTATCACCATACAACCGCGCACCCAATGGATCCAGTGTTGCTAAGAGCTTGTTTAACCAGCCTTCACTGACTACTCCAACAAATTCATCTGGTCCTAAGACCCCACCACAACCAGTGTCCTCGCAAGGTGATAAATCTCCGCTGGGGAATTCATTCACTGCTAATGGAAGTACTAACAATACTCCTCAAGAGATCACTCCTGCTAACTGCACCGTGATTTCAACTGAGAGAGTTACTGTAAGCCCATACAAACAAATGGCATTCTACACAGTGGAAAGAAACCATTGCATTTCTTCTTCCTCACCAGTTAAAACAAACTTGAAGAGGCTGAATAAGAGGGATCATGTAAAAGGAAGGCTAGATTTCGATGGTTCGGATGTTGCAGTGAACATGGATAAACCAATTACTAATGAAATTTCGACTTCTGAATCTGAAAAGGAAGCTGGCATTTTTGACATGGATTTGCCTAATTTAGATGCCTTTGGACCAAATTTTTCTTTCTCCGAGCTGCTAGTTGATTTTGATCTCGACTGCGAAGGAATTGGTTATCCTTGCCAGCCAACAGTGGATACTTGTGCTTCTGTGGACAATATTTCAGGGTATTTGTTCCCTTTGTCATGCTGATTATTTAATATCTTAGTATTCTCCACTATTTTATACACCACTATACACTTCACCAGATATGTTATACTACACATAATATGCAGGTCATCTCATGAATCTGGGGATGCCAATTTGGGGGCTGATCAAGTTGTGTCAGAATATTCATCCACACTGACAGAAGTTCTTTCAGGAAAAGATATGAATGTTGAAGGTGATTTAGACTTACCTATTTGATTTGATTTTAATCATTTCAAGTTATGTATTTATCTTGCAAATTTTCATTTTGCAGGCTCTGATACCCTAACTGCAGTAAAATCAATAACAAAATGCATAAGGATTTTAAGTCCTGGTAATTTATTGCTCCTTACTTTTAAGTTTTGCTTTCCTCTCTTTTCTATACTGGGGATAAACTTGTATTTTCATTGTTCTGTATACCAAAATTTAGTTCGGAGTTCTAAAATTGATGTTTTTCTTATGAAATGCAGCAAAAGGTCGCAGGAGTTCTTTGGCTTAGAAACATTGTTCAGCAAGAAACTAATTCTTTTTGAAGATTAAGATGACTTAATGCTGACACGGTACCAGTACAGTACTTACAGCAAAGACGCTTGACTGTGATCTTAATTCTTAAGCATCCGCCTATTTACTATTTCTTAGTTACATGTTACTTAACATCTCTTTAGTATGCTCACAGAATTTTAGTTGAAAGATTGGGCAAAGCAAAGTACACTTTAGCTTGCTAATCAAATACTTATCTTTGTCCACTTGTATTCTGCCTATATTGATTTAGTGGTGATTGTAAATTTCTGATGAAGGTTACTGATAACATTTGATAATGAAGTAGAAACTTCTTGCACAAAATCTTTGTTATCTATTTATCCAGACTTCTAATTAAAATTGGTTTATGGTGTATCTACCAAAAAAGTAAATATCTGATGGCTACTTGAGGCACAAGTTCTGATTATGGCATTGGTTTGATACAAGTTTCATAAATTGTGTGATTGATCACCATGAAGAATGGCTAAGAAATTTCACTTCTCTCTGACATGAAAAGAAGCAAATTAACCTCTTTAAAGATGTTTTACTTTCTCATTATGCGTTTCCATTTCTGATAGTCTGTTTCCTCTGAAAATTTGATCCAATTTCTAGATTGAATCTTACACACAGTTGAAGTCCCATGCAGACCTGGCAATATTTTGCCCCGAAACAAAAGTAATTCATATAGGTAAAGGAAAGTAATTGCTTCTCTTTTAATTTCAATTTAGCGTATTTCTTGAGAAACTTCCATGAAAGAATTATCCTCATGAACAAAATTATTCTTTGTTTTACATTTCGGTTAAGCTAAATACTTCTCCAATTTCTCCACTTCCTCTTGACTTCCAATGTAGAGTGGAACACGCTGATGTATCTGTTGAAAGGAAACAACCAAAGCATCTTAGTACCTAAGTTTAGCTAGAAAATTGCATGAACTCATAGTTATAAGAATGTTCTCACCTCAGTTGGTTGAATGTCAAGTACTCTTTGATGGCCGTCTGATCCTTTTCCTCCAGCTTGTTCCACAATGAAGCTCATCGGTGCACACTCATACAAGAGCCTCAGCTTCCCATTCTTGCTCTTCTTGTCTCTGGGGTACCCATAAATGCCGCCATAGAGAAGGGTCCGATGGAAGTCACCAACCAGGCTGCCAATATACCTAGCAGAATAAGGTTTGCCACTGGGACCTGGATCTTTGAGGTCATCGATGTACTTCTTCAATTTGTCATCCCAAAGCTGGTAATTCCCTTCATTAAATGCATAAATTTTTCCGGCTTTTGGTATCTGGATGTTCTCTTGAGTTAAAACAAACTCTCCATACATGGGGTCTAAGGTGAATGCAAACACACCATTTCCTAGAGTTATCACAAAAATTACAGAGCTTGAGTACATGCAGTAGCCAGCAGCAAGTAGATTGCTTCCTGGCTGGCACACGTTGACGACACATCTTTCTTCTGCTGAGCCAAGCTGTAATGTATCAAATGCCAAAAAGTAATTAACATGTATCTTCCATGAAATTATGAATCTTCAGCTTCATCATAATGGAATGAAGAAGCATGAACTTACATTAGCATCATCACCAATATCGGCAAGGCACTCATCATTTGGACTGTATATACCAAAGATGGATCCAGTGGATACAGCAGCATCAATGTTGGATGATCCATCAAGTGGATCAAACACCGCAATATAGTTTCCAGAGAAACTCTCTTCTACTGCCACCGGCACATCCTCCTCCTCCGATGCTATAATCCCCGTTCGCCCGCTTGATCTCAAGCAACTAGAGAACACCTGTAAGTGCAAATTATTAAAATTCTGTAATTGGCGCTAACTGTTTCATTATACCCACAATCAAATAAGCAGTTTGTTCTAACAGCTTAAACATACACAATTTTGCAGATATACATTCATGGTGCACATTGTTTAAAGAGCATTTTATAGTATAGCAATTACCAACCTCATTTGAAACAACATCAAGCTTCTTCTGGTCCTCCCCCTGAACGTTGACAGCACCTTGAACGCCAGTCAAGTTGGAAATGCTGGCTCTCTGAACCAAAGAAGCTATCTGCTTACAAGCCGTAGAGATGCTTGAAAGCACAATAGTGAGCTCCGCATCAATAACGCCAGCTTGTTCCTGCTTCAACAACCAGTTTGTGAGTGTTTGAATCTCAAACACACTTTTCTTCTTGGTTTCAGCCTCTGACGCCGTCCCTACAGCCATACACTTGACACCGGCACCAACATGTCTTCTCTTGACATTAACGTTGTTGCAGCTACTGGGACATGAGACAAGTGTTTTGGTATCAAACCCACATAGTTGATAAGGAGAGAGACGAGATAGAGAACGAGAGCTTGATAAAAGAAGTTGTGAAGAAGATGTAGCTGCAGCTGCCACCATGATTAAGTTTAGCTCTCTACTTTCTTCTTCTTCTTCTTCTTGTGTAGTGATGATATTTTGTTGTCTAACAAGCAATGTAGTTTTGTTAAGATTGTGTTGTGTTGAGTGAAGGTGAGAATGTGAGGTTGGTAACGATTTCTGTTAATATGGCCCCACTTATCTTTGTTTGAGATCTTTTTTGTGACCAAGTTTCGTCGAGGAATGTGCAACAACTCCAGTGATGGATGGATGATTACAAACTACAAGTTGCACAGTTGCAGTTGCGCCTCTAAAGTTAAGCCCATTACTCAGTCCACAATGTTACTGCCTCTACGGGCTAAGATAAGTAGATAACCATATCACAGCTGAAGCCTATTCAATTTGTCTAGAGACAGCCCAAGATTGATTCACAGTTACATATATATTTTGAAAACCGAGATGTTCGAGCTAGCATACGTATATCTCAATTAATCTCTGAGACTCGTTAAATATTTTACAAATTTAATAAGACAAATAAACTATAAATGTGATAGGTGACCATAAGGTAGTTTGAATCTAACAAGTCAATGAAAGGAGTAAACTTTCTTGATCATTAGGCTAACTCTTTGGGTTAATGGTATCTTTCGATTGCATCTATTATGTAATGTTGCTTGTTATTTGACATTTTCTAAAAGAATAAGAACAAAATAATCTCTGCCACTATCATATAACATAGAAATTACCGATCTCCAACCAATGAGGATAAACATTTATATTTATTTATATATTTTACTATTTTACAGATACCCACATGTAGATTTGGAAATGGTTTCAGGATACAAAGATGTCTTGCGAAATTTTGGTCAAGACAAATGCCAATTCATAACTTGATATAGTTGATCAGTCATTGGAAATGGAGTTTTGTTAAAAGCAAAGACCTTCTTGTATAATACAGCTTGCTTATCAAAATTATTAAAAACCTTTTACTTCGGTTTCAAACATAAGATTTGAGTTAAAAAATAGCTAGACTTTAGTTAGATGTTGATGGATTCATGAAGAAGAAAAGGATATTAAGCAAACAATGGATGTATCCACTGCTGTTTTTAATATAAATTTATTGATGATGTGCAAGAGGAAAAACACTTTCATTGAAATGTTCAAAATCGGTGGGAAAGAATGACTTGGTCATATATTGCTAAGAAACTCCACAAATGATATAATTTCGCGGAAACCTTCTTCCCTTCACTACATGAAACGCAGCCTGCAATTTTCTGTCCAGTTCCCCGAAGGCTTCTGACTTTTCTTTCGATTTTCACAAAAATTCCAAACGGAATGAGACAAGTCGAAGTTAAGCTTTCCTGTTTATGTGGACAGAAGACCAACAAGGCAAACATATAGTGACATTAATCAATGTTATTTAATTATAGTTGACTTATACTTAATTCCCAGGTCTTCGCTTTGGCCCCCACCTTACAAATTTCATTGATATTAACTGGAGAATTGCACGCGGATACCTTGGTTGACTTCTTTTTAATTAATCTTTGATTATACTAAGAACAAACCAGTTCAATGTAGTCAATAACAGATTTATAATATATTTGATTATGATTATTATTCTCAACTAATTGGTCAAACGCCAAGAGTGTAACCCGGAACTTAAGTTATATAAGAATAGCAGTTGGATTAACTGCGAATAACCAAAACAAGAATTATTGCGGAGAATGAGAAATTTCTCGGAGTGTTGAAAGCTTAAACGTTGAGACCAGCCAAAGTGCTAAACACGTCTTAAGAGTCAAGAGTCAAGTATGAGAACGTATTAAATATTACATTAGAATTTGACTATGAAAATTAATTAAATAAAAGGACAAAAATAGAAAGAAAACAACCAATGGGCTCCATGCACAAGCCCAAAGACCAGCAAACCACCAAACACGTAATTCACATGAAGCCAAGAAGCAGCAGAACTTGCTCTAGCCGCTCCATTCAATATATATAGAACCATGGCCGCCCTTTTTGATTCATTGAAACCATCTCTCAATATATTCACAACCCCTTCAGGCTTTTAATTTTGTCGGCTTATCAAACACCAAAAACCATTAACAAATTGCATCCATGGCTTCTCCTTCAATCAAGTTGACATTTTTTCTCTTCATCTCTTCCCTTTTTCTCCATGCAGCTCTAGGTAGATATTATGTAATTGATCATTTTGATTTGGCTTTTAGGGTAAGTTTTTGATTTGTTCATAGATAACATTTTTGTTGTTTTGTAGGTGAGATTGTTTGTGAGGATTTGCCAAAGGATGTCTGTGCATTTTCTATATCATCTTCAGGGAAGAGATGTTTATTGGAGACTAATTGTGAAAATCATGGAACTGTGGAGTATCAATGCAAGACATCTGAAGTTGTTGTAGCGAATATGGCTGATTATATCGAGACTGATGAGTGTGTCCGCGCTTGTGGCGTTGATAGAAACTCTGTTGGGATTTCTTCAGATGCTCTCCTTGAGCCACAATTCACCTCCAAGCTTTGCTCCCCCGATTGTTACCAGAAGTGCCCCAACATTGTTGATCTTTACTTCAATTTGGCTGCCGGCGAAGGTATCAATCTTTTATTATTAATTAATATCTTAATTTAACTTAAAAGGGAAAATTTAGTGTTATTAAAAACGTGTTAAAAATTATGGTTGTGAAATCTATTTTGATGGTAGCTGGTACGTCTCTTTGGAATAGTGTTGGTTGCTTGGGTGGTGAGAAACTGAGATTCAACCAGAAAGAAAATGAATTAAAATAGTTTTAAAGGAAGAAAAAAAAGAGAGAAATTAATAGTTTGGTCAATGGTCATGTAGGTCTCTGCTTTCACTTTCTCTTTTTCTCGTAAAAGCCATACAATATATTTTCTTGCTTTACACATTTTTACTTCTTCTTCAATCAAAGTATCGTCCTCTCAATACCAAACTTGACACTTGGTGTGTAGCTAATTGTAATAATTTTATTTTATAGCATAAGATAATTAAAAGTAATTTAATAACGTGGGTTATTTATTGGTTGATGATGCAGGAGCTTTCTTGCCGGATGTTTGCCAGCAGCACCGCAGGAACCCTCACCGTATGATGGTTCAACTTTCAAGCTCCGGCGAAGTCACCCCTGGCACCATTTCATCTCATTCATCCAAAGCCATGCTCAGCCCTGCTTCTGCTCCTGCTATTTCCCCAGCTCCCTTTTAGTTATTTTCTTTACAAATCATTCCCTGTTAAAAGATGATACAAGAATAAGTATTAGATACAGGAGGTGTTCATTTGTTGAGGATTATTTTCATATATTAAATGAGAGATTTTGTTACTCTTATTTACAATACAAGTTTCATTTAGCGGTATATTCTGTATCATAATAAATACTGTTGACAGTATGCTTTTATTTAATATATTAATCCTGCAAATATTCTTAAATTTGTTATGTAACTTATTTTATTTCTCTTAAAGCACACTCCAAAATTAAGAATTTAGATATATCAAGATGAAGTTCAAGGCCTGATATTTTTGGGTACCCGGCCCGAAAAGGTTGGGTTTTACCCGATGTTCGCAGGTTCGAGCCTAGCCCTGATTTTAAGGCCCAATCCTGGGTACGGGTCGGGCCTGGGTATGTCTTTAGGCTCAGTCCAGCCCAGCCCGACAATTTTAGTATTAATTATACTAAATTATCCTTATACTATATATTTAATTACAAGATTATTCTACATATATATACTTATTTTTCTCAAACCCTACATAGATGGATGGATGCATTTTGTGGAAAGTTATTTATATATTTGGTGAGTATTAAAAAATAAATTAATATTCAAAAATTGCTTCTAGAATTAAAAATATACAAAAATTAAAATTTATTAATATTTAAAAATTCACATTATAAAAATGAGCGGACTTGAGTCGGGCCTGAGGTTACAAAAAACTCGTCGAGCTGGGCTTGGGCTTTACCTATCATATCCATCACGGGCTTGGGGCTTTGTCATGAGGCCAGGCTTAGGCCTGGGCCAAGGGGTACCCAGTCCCGCCCCGGCCCATTGCCATCACTAACTTGCTTTTATGTAGTATAAGTAAATAAAAAATTGCTCTTAGATTATTTGGAAAATTGTTCTTTGTATATATGTAGCCTAAATATTCTAAAATTAGCACTTGAGTTCTTCTTCTTAGTAAAGAGGGAATAGCCCGACACAGCACACTTGAAACCAGCTCCTTCGACAACCTCACTAAATTTCGTGAACATGCACANTATGTAGTATAAGTAAATAAAAAATTGCTCTTAGATTATTTGGAAAATTGTTCTTTGTATATATGTAGCCTAAATATTCTAAAATTAGCACTTGAGTTCTTCTTCTTAGTAAAGAGGGAATAGCCCGACACAGCACACTTGAAACCAGCTCCTTCGACAACCTCACTAAATTTCGTGAACATGCACAAGGAGCTTGTTTCAAACCATAAATAGCCTTTTTAAGACGACACACCAAGTTGCAATTTCCATCAACTCCCTCCGGTCGACGCATGTACATTTCTTGTTTCAATTCCCCCCTTTATAGTCAGTTGAAATGCATTCTTCATGTCAAGTTGATGAAGACCCCATCCTTTCACAATAGCAATAGACAGGATGCATATGACAGACGTCATTTTGGCAAAAGGGGCAAACGTTTTATCGTAGTAAACTCCATGCTCCTAGGCATACCCATTTGCTATAAGTCGAGCCTTATGCCTTGAAATCGACCCATCAACTAGATACGTTATACACCCGAGCGAGTGACTAAACGAGACTCCATCCGAACCTCAACCAACCGCTTGTTTACCTACAGGAAACTCAACGACAATCCTCGGGCTTTGATCCTTCACGTACAAAAAGATCCGGTATTGGAGTATTGTGCTTCTCAAGGCCCTCTGAGTCAGAGCAACCCTGCCGGGGTGATCCAGTTACCCAGAGAATTGTTAGGCTATTTTTTTGAAGCTTGAGTATGGTTCGTGCACCGTTTTTCTTCTCTACCATGTCGAATCATAATTTAATAAATTACTTCTACTTCTAACCGGGATTGGACCATGTCTCCTAAACAATCTCAGTACATATGCGCAAGACGATTCCACAGATCGAGGTCGGAATGGGATCGGGTGTTTTCACGTCTCACCGTAGTGCCCGGTTTGTCTTGATTTCCGATTGATGAACAAGAAGGAAAACGGAACTCTTGGATTTTGTGACTCACCTAGGGCAACCCTTCGCCCGCCCGCCACTAGTGGGAAGCAAGCTAGCCCCCTATGTTGGCTGCCCCTTTCCCCCTTTAATAATAAGATAAGGTAAGCATTCAAGCTCAACAAGAAAAATGCCCCTTACTATAGATAGGCTAACACACCTTATATTATATAATTAGAAAAGCAGCCTTTCACGCAGCTCAAGCTTACTTACTAAGCAAACGTAGGCTAGGGCTCGCAAGCAAGAAGCAACAGATTAAGCAACTTGAGTGAAAGCCGGTGTGCGTTAGCGCTTTAGTTTGATTGCAGGGTGTTTAGGCTTTTTGCATATATCTTTATGACTTTATCGTTGATCATATATTTATATGTTTTACGTATTTAAAATAATTTTAAAATACCATCATCAAATTGATAAAATTAAAAAAAAAATTATTAAAGAATAAATACTGCATATATTTTCCATGTTTAAAATAATTTTAAAATATCAATTATGAAATTGAGAAAATTAAATAAAAAATTATTATAAATAAATACAGCATTATGCCATTTCAATCAAATATTTGAAATTTATTATGATATATAAAAATAATTGAAATAGTTTATTTACATTTAATGTAATTTCTTTTAAAAATATGAGTTAATAACAAACTATTTTATTGTTGTGATAAAGTGGAAGAAGGTAAATAAATTATATATTAGAATTGAAATTGGAATGACTTTAGAAGAAGAATTATTGAGAAAAAAATATTTAATTAAAAGATTTAAAAGAATGNTCAATTCCCGTCGTTCGCCCATAAGGGATAGGTACTCATTCACAAACAACAAAGATAGAATAGGAAGGATAAGAGAAATCTAAGTATTCAGTTCTTTACCTTTGATTAGCACACCGAGGTAATATCATATTGATCATATTGATAGTATGCCCTTTTTCAGTGCTAGTTTCCGAGTTGTCTCTATCGAGCTGTAGTTGTTCAGGGAACGCCTTTGAAGAAAGAATACTAAGGCCTTTCCTTAAGCTTCCTTTCAGATATTGTTCCGAGTAACATAGTTCACTCTCAGCAGCACACACTAGTGGAATTCTTTTCTAGCGAAGCAAGCCCGCCTGGTGTGATTAACTCCCTAGCAGTCACTACTGAGCAGCACAGAAGCGTAGTGTGCTGTAGCAGAGTGTGCTATGAAGAAGAAGATTAGGCTTAGGTAAAGGATGAACAAGCCAATGATAGTACGAACCAGACGGGTGTGCTCCAGTACCAGTTGGGACATCTCGTTAACCAAGCCATGAATCAGACATTTCACACGCACGCCTCTCTCATCAAAGAATCAAGAAGTTAGTCATGACATCAACAGCGATCTTCCTCCGTTCGATAGGGGGTGAACTGCGCCTTACCACTTGCAGAGGGAGCTACGGTCGCTCACAGGTCGTTGCTCGCTCTCTCCACTGACGGAAAAGGCGTAACTACTCTTGGAGGAAGGGCTAAGAAGGTTGAGAAAGGAAGAGGGGAACAAGCTAACGGGAGAAGGGGAGAGAGAGAACGAAGTGAACGAACGAACATACTATGATTGTCTGGTTGTGAGCCATTGGCGAACTATCAACAGAGTGTACGACCGTAGGGGTAGGGAGGGAAGAGTAGCGAAGCGATGTTCCAGTTGAAGCATGTACTCTAGCCGGCATGTCCCACCTCGTCTAGATCACTCCTGGATGTCTTGAAGGTGTCGCTAAAGCACGCCACCCCTTCTCCTCTGTTGAATCTATCTCTCTTGGTTCGCTGGTAATTCCTATTCATGATGGGATCAGGTAGCTAGGCGGAGCCCGTATTCCTTTAATTCCCTGGGATGTGTTTAAGCGTAAAATGAGCTGCTGTCTGTATCTGAGCGACCGGGTCTCCCTCTTACGCACCAAGTGCAGCTAAAGCAGGGGCGAAGACGAGGCTTGCAGACCTTCTGACTTCCCTGTCCGGGATCTCTTCACTGGATGTGTCGTGTTCCTTTGGCCCACTCCCCATTTGTTGGAAGGGTTTGTCCGGCCGGCGATGACGGTGCAGCTAAAGAAGTACGCGACAAGTGGAGCTGCTGCTTAGTCACTCTCTTCCCTCCTCTGGTCGGATGGGAATTCCTCGGCACGACTGGGCAGCTAAGCATCATTGGCTTGGTCAGCCTTTACCTGACCAACTACCTAATACTACGCAGGCTCATCAAACAGCGCTTTCTAGCTTTCTTCAGGATTTAGCCTGAACCGATGCCAGAGCTCTCAGTGGTTTGTGGACTCGAACCACAGTAGGAATTTACAGTTCCGGCTCCCCAGCGGAGCGTAACCACTTTCTTACTCGTAAAGGCAAAGAAAAAAGGGATCCGCCTCGAATCAAAACGTTCTTTCTTTTCTAAAAACGATCTTTCTTCTCTTATGAAATTGATANTCAAAACAACGTCAACTCTTTCATTCCTCTCTTCGTCACGCACACTTTGGGAGCACATAGATCCGAAAGTGATAGTAACCAATGTAACGACTCGATAAATATGACTGTTGAACCTTCTAATCTAGATTTACTGGGGTAGTTCTGTTTTCCCCCAAGGACTACTTATGAACTTTAACCTCCTTAGGTTGATGCAGATGAGGGCAGTGAAACCCCTTCGGGTTGATGGTAATGATGTTTAATTGTTATTTGCTTTGTAATTTGAGAGTTGTATGATGTTTCATTATTATTTGCTTCGTTATTCGTTACTTGTATAACGTTTCATTTTTACATTTATGACGTTGTTATGAGTAGTTGTTTTAAAATGTACATATATCGAACAGTAATGCAAACGGAGAATATGAAACAAAACAGACATATTACTATTGTAAACAAAGTTTGTACAATAAAAACAATTTGTAGAAATATAAAAATGAACCAAAAGGCTAACTAAATAACTACTCTCCATGAAAAAACTTGATGGCCATCTTAGTCTTAGGGAAAATACCATCTCGATAAATTTAAGCGTGAATACCCTACAGTTGTCTGAACTCGGACTCTATTGCGGCACGTCGACATGCCTTAAGTCCCGAACATCGAGGTCGTTTGAACTTAGTACAATACATCGATTGTAATAACATCTCTGGTATATATGTCACGTATGGATGCATCCGATCTATGAAGCTGATAGCCTTCCATTGATTTATGTACAGTGAGCGACCAACCAAGCAAATCAATCTCA